TATATATATATATGTACTGTGGGTTTTGAATTAAGATAGCGAGTAATTTTTTTGGTCTTCTGTACAGTAATATTTTAAAATAGTTATTGATTTATGCAGTATTACAAAATACTTTATATGTCTCAATACATAACAAGTTTTACATTTAGAAGGTGAGAAGTTATTTTGTTGTTTTTGGTACTGAACACATGGGTCAACTATATTTCCCACACTTTTCAGAACTGCTTCCTTTGATGAATGTATCAACACTGATTCCTTTTATTATTTACAGTGATATTTAATGAGAAAAAGTTAACATCTGAGAAAGCATTTTGATTTATTTATTTATTTTTATTTTTAATATGAAATTTATTGTCAAATTGCTTTCCATACAACACCCAGTGCTCACCCCAACAGGTGCCCTCCTCAATGTGAGAAAGCATTTTTAAGCAATGGAATTTTAAACTGTGAGTGAATGCTCTCCTCTAAACATGCTTAAAAGTATTCATAATGTCTTATGTTGAGCAATTTTCAAAAGACTCTGCAATGAATAATATTGTTTAAAACGAGTAGTTTCCTTAATTCATAATATCACCCTCATTAATAATGTCTTTTAAAATAGACGGCATATTGATTGTAAATTCAAATTAGTAACAATAGTTACCACATACTGAGTGCCAGCTTTGTTCAGGCTGTGTTCAGGTTACCCGAACAGTAATAGCTAATATATGAAGCATTTATGCCATGCTCATTTAATTCTCACTTTAGGAAACTGAGGCTTGCAAAAGTAAGTAATTTGTTTGTGGTCACATATTCCAGAATTCACAAAGCCAAGATGCTTTGACTCCATTTACTCAACACATCTTTGTAGGGCACATACCATATGCTTGGCATGGGAATAGAGAGGCCCCTGCGTGGTCCAGTTGGTTAAAGCGTCCGACTCTCCGTTTCGACTCAGGTCATGATCTCACAGTTTGTGAATTCAAGCCCCGCATTGGGCTCTGCACTGACAGTGCAGAATCTGCTTGGGATTCTCTGTCTCCCTCTCTCTTTGCCCCTCCCCACCTCTCTCTCTCTCTCTCTCTCTC